ATGTTCAGTCACTTTATTTATTTTCTTTTGTTTTTTTCATATTTAAAAGTAATTCTTTTAATTTATTTATCCATAAAGTAGTTTATATATATATATATATATATAAATTTCCGGGCCGACCCAGAACCGGTGGGTCGGCCCGGCCCGCCAAACTGTGTGTAGTACGGGCCGGTTCCAGTTCCGGAAAAAGTGAACCGGCCCGGAACCGGCCCATGGCCGTGTCTAGATTGAACCTACACTCTCATTAACTATTTTCAATCTCGAATATGCATTGGATTGTTTTGTGCCTAATTCTTATATATTATGCATAGTTAATGTGATTCTGAAAGGGCTAATAATAAATATTGTCAATCATATTTGGTCGAATTTTTGCTTTGTGATTTCCAAGTTTTAACAGTCCAATTAAATGTACACACATATTCTAGAAGAATTAAAGGAACAACGCACTTGCTGAAATTCCAAACCCGCTGCGTAGTCTGATTTTTCAGAATTTTCAGTTAATTCCTTCAACTTGTTATAAATTTTATTTCGCCCCATTTTTTTTGAAATTTTACAATTCAATTCTTATTATTTGAAAATTTGCAGTAAAAGTCTGCGACTTTTGGAATCTGCACTTATGACTTTTTCACATTCTTCCAAGTTGTGTCACAACTCACACTGTCACGGATATTCTGGAATTGCAGTTTGGTCCGTAAAATTTATAATAATGAAATCAATTTCATCCTAACATATATATATACATACATGTTGGTTTTGGGTCGGTTCCAATAAAAGCCGTATATAACCCAACTAAGAATCGTCAAATTCGAAAACCTTAAACTCATTATCCGATCCAAAACCATTTATTTTGCGAGATCAACCCCAAACAAGTCAGTTCCGGGTCTGAGACCCACCAAATCCGATCCATTGCCATCCCAGCTTGTGCCCTTAAAATAAGCGGGGAAAAATACCCTTAAAGCTACAACAACAACCTTTCTTTTGTAAATATAAACTAAGATAAGATATAGAGTTTTATGGCTTTTGAGATCCTACACGTGGTTAAATATACCCATATGATTTTAAACCGTAGATCTATATAAATAACTAAGCACACATACATATATGTGGGTGTGTTATTATGTGTAGATTTATGATTTAAAAGCACATGGTGTAATTCATCGGGTATAGATTGTAGAAAGCTGAATTTTATAGATGATACATATTGTGAAAATAGACTCAGGAGTGGATCCATGTGTATTTATAGGTGGACTGAAGCCCACACTGATTCATTTTTTTTAGACACTATTGTAATGTTAATCTTGTTTAATTAGTTATTTTCTATACTATTTTAATTCTAATTCGATTTAATCAGCCCACACAACTAATTTGTTATGTAGAGTTCCAATAATTATATTTTGTTAATACACAATTTAATTTATATAATTTAACTAAAACATATAATATATTTATTTATTTATTTTGTTCTATTATTTCTGAATAACTCATAAAAAAAATTCGAGTGCGCGACCCTCAAAATTCCGTAAAGTTTTAGTACACCATTACAACAAATTCTGGCTCCGCCACCGATTACACTGCATAATTTTGCACCATCGATCTAATAACGGGTCAACCTAATTGACCCTAAATTAAATTGAATTTGTTATTTTTGTATTTTTAATAATTTAGACAACTATCATAAGTATATATGTAAAAAAAAAAAAGATTAATTGATAAATTCCACGTAATAACCATCTATCTAATAACGAGGACCACTAAATTAATGAAGAGCGCGAATAGCAAATAGGTAATCGCACTTAGTTTGTTTTCCATTTTAATCACATTTCCCAGTCAGGAAACTCAATACCCTGATCTTCCTCATTTAGATATCGATAGATACAGATACATACATTTTCCCCTTCTTCCTCTCTCTCTCTCTCTCTCTCTCTATCTCTCTCTCTCATTTTTCCCCTTTTCCAATTCAAAACCCCTAATTTCAATCAATTTTTTCTCCATTCTGAATCTAATTTGATCTCTCTCAGAGCTAAACCCTAGAAATCACCCTGACGAAAATATAGGCGTACGTGTATACATACAGATAGATACAGACGCGGATGTATTGGATATAGAGAGAGGTTCGAATGAAGTGAGGTAGGAATGGGTGCAGCAGGTTCGAAGCTCGAGAAAGCATTGGGGTGACCAATTTCCTGAAGGCGAGCGGTATTTTGGACTCGAGAATTTCGGCAACACTTGCTATTGCAAACAGCGTGCTTCAGGTTTTTTTTTATTTTTTATTTTTTGATTTATTTTTTTTCTCCGCTGATTCTTGGGTTGAGCAGAAGAGGTGGAATTTGCTTTCGTTGTTGAATTTTTTAGTGTGATGATGTGAGTGGGAGTGAGGACCGTAATTTGCATTTTGTAGATGATTTGGATATTGATGATGGTGAAATTACGCTGTTTCTGCATTAGTGGATCGCTGAATTATGATTTTATGTTGGCAATTAGATGCATTGAAGTATCTTTATGGTGGATTTCGGTTAATGTTTGGATATCTGGAAAATCTTATTATTTTCTCTGTAAGCATGGGTGTGTGTGTTTCTAGGCTTTATTCTTTCGTTTCTTATGTACGGTATATCTATTTTGGTGGATGGTTTCGAGGTAACCTTCTATTAAGACTCCATTAGAACTTGTAAGATGGTATTGTCTATGTTTTACGACCATCTTGCAGATTTGAGTTAAATGCTGAATGTCATTTGCCTCTTTTGGCCACGGATTTGTTATTAACCTGCAATCTATTATGTATACGCTTCTTGCATTTAGTTTTCACACTCGTGTTGTTGCTGGCTAATTAACATTCGTTTACTATATCAATGTTTCGCTGGAGAAACAACTGTTCTCTCTAAAGGGTTTTGTTGGTTTGAACTTCGCTTAGTTCGAGTTATGGTCTTTCTTTCACACAGTTGGCATATTAAGAACCAAGCTGGGATTCCTTTTTTATTAATTTCCACCTTTGTTTTGCAGGCTCTTTATTTCTGTGTCCCATTCCGTGAGCAGTTGCTAGAATATTATTCCAATAACAAAAATCCTGCAGATGCAGAAGAAAATCTCCTGACATGCCTAGCAGACTTGTTTTTACAGGTAAAATATCTTTTGCATTTGAAAGAATATCAAATCAAATAAGTTCCTTATGTGGACATATTTTCGTCTCTGGATTGTACATTGTACTCCTTGCTGATATTTTTCCTTTCGTCTGATTTGTATACTGAACGCAATTACTTAACATGTTACTATCAATAAGATTGATGTTAAAGTAGACATGGGAATGACAGAGTAAAACGTCGATCTAATTTGCTTAAAATAATATTTGTTTCAGCTCATGTCCTGCTAAATTAATTGATATGAAAGTGCAATACAAAGATTGGTTTGTAGTTGCATATTGTAAATACATGTCTCAGAGACAAACTTTCTATTCTCACTTCTGGCATCTCAAAGTGCACCATCAAATGATTTGAAGTATGTAGTATGTTGTGAAAATGATAAAATTTGATGAAAAAGAATGTGAAGAAAATTATGTTCTTATGTGAACTTTGTGGTGTTGAAATGACAGAATAAATGTTATGATGATTTGTCTTATTATGAGTGAATAAAGTGATCAGGCTGTATTCCTTAATAGCTGCTCAAAGAGATGTGAAGTATTGAAACGGGCATGCATAATTTGGAATATGGGAACATGAAACGAATGCATTTTTCTGAATTGGGGGAATTACCTTTTCATGCCCTTGCATAATCAGATCTTGTTGGCTAATCCCCAGAGTAGATAACATGTAGAAGATAGATTTTAGATTGGTAGTTTTTACTCATTTAATTTAAATTCATGTAGTTCATAATTATGTCGATTTTAAAGAGATGTCTTAGCATTTGAGGTTCCTGAGAGAAGACTGCAACTTAGGATTTGCCTAGGATCATGAAACGTCAATTTTATTGTATCACTTGAAACAGCGTAACAATAGCAGGGTCATGTTGTATTTCACTAGGTAAAACAAGGGTTTATGTGTTTAACGCTCGGGTCCCAATAAGGAGGCGATAGACAAAGACCAGAAAAGTTGTTTTCAGTTTTCAGGATTTGACCTAAGCAGAGGATACTCATTATTGAGAACCAAGGAATCTATCAATCATAAGATCTGCTAATTTGTTAGTCAATAGATGGATTTTTTTGGGGGTGGAGTGGGGTTGAGGGGGCGTGGGAGGTGGTTGGAGGAAGTTGAGAGGGGTTCCTTGATACCAATACCGAAATCAGCCATTTTCCGTAGACATTACATCGAACATTTCCAATCTTCTGGGAAATGATGTATCTGCTAACCTCTCTCCCCCTCCTGCCACACGCCTTCATCCTCTGTTGTAAAACTCAAGTTGTCTATTTCCCTATATTGGCCTTGTCTATGCCTTCTTGTGCATTTTCTTGAGGTTCTTGTAGATGTGCGGGGATGTACGATTTAAAGATCATGCAGTTTAGTGTATAAGATGACTAGACAGTCCTGTTTGAATGTCGTAATTATTTGATTTTTAGATGGGAAAAAAATATCCTGACCAAATAGTAGGGTTCAGGAACTTGGATATTAATTTATATCCTAGCTTGGTTCGTTATGCTGACTGAGTTCTAATGAGCTTTTAACGATTGATCTTCGGTCTAGTATCAAGTCTTGGTTTGGTTTTTAGCTATGTTCATGTGCCCATGCATCAATTCTGGTTTATGAAGGGATAGAGTGCATCTTAATCCATGTCCCATTATTAGATATGTTCCGACCAACACATTCAAGTCGTTTATTGATTTATGTAAACTCCCCTCCAAATAAATTGTGCTTGATTTTGCATGTAGATAAGCTCACAAAAGAAAAAAACTGGTGTTCTTGCTCCAAAGCGTTTCGTACAGCGACTGAAGAAGCAAAATGAAATTTTTCGCAGTTACATGCATCAGGTATGATGATAAACCTCATACTCTTAAGTTCATTCGTTGTACTTCATTAAAAAAGTGGATTGGTCTTGACATTTCGCTATATATACACCCTGATTTCTATACACCCTGAACGCAATTGTTCAATGCCGTAAAAATGGAGCTTATTATGTTGTTAATGCTTCTTCTAATCTGTTAATGGTTCAACATATTATACATGTAGGATGCCCATGAATTCCTAAACTATTTGCTAAATGAACTGGTCGAAATACTGGAGAAAGAAGCTCAAGCTACCAAGACTGAACCAGAAGGTTCCGAGAAAATTGCTAATGGCCCGACAAATATATCTTCCAACGGTTCCCCAGAGGAGCCCCTGATCACCTGGGTGCACAAGAATTTTCAGGCAAGTTTCGTTTGCTGTTCAACCTCATGCTATATTTTGGAGATTTTTTTCTTCCATCCATCCATTTTTTTTGACTGGTTTTATGTCTTCTTTTGGCATTGACAATTGTTATTTTTCAGGGTATATTGACAAATGAAACAAGGTGCCTACGTTGTGAGACAGTGACAGCAAGGGATGAAACATTTCTTGACTTGAGCATTGATATAGAACAGAACAGTTCAATTACGAGCAATCTGAAAAATTTTAGCTCCACTGAAACTTTAAATGCCGATGACAAATTCTTTTGTGACAAATGCTGCAGGTTAGTCACAATTTTCATGTAATGAGACGATGTTAATCTCTCCAACTCTTCAAATTGTTCCCTTGTTGGATTCTGCTCTTGGTGGGAATTAATAGAAACTTTCATTCATTTCAGAAATCAAATTTCCGTGTTTCTGTTTCATAGATGCTTGTCTTTATGTATCCTTAATTTACTCAAGCAGTAAAATACTTCAAAAAATGCATCTCCTAAGAAACTGACTGTTTTGCTGTCTCTGTTCATGTTTTACATTTTTCCGTATAATAAGTAGAATGTATACTGATACTGGTCTTGTTATTACATCATTTTCTTATCGGATCATTAGCTTGGAAATACAATCATATCTGTTGGTATTTTATGTTGTAAATTTTTGTCGGCTTTCTTTTCGGCAAGTATTGATTCTCAGTAGATATTGTTCAAATGATGGTAGCCATAGTAGTTCGTATAAATCTTTATTGTATAAGTCGAGTAAAAAGATGGTTTTGTGTTATAACTGTTCTCTTTCTTATTTATTTATTTATTTATTTAGCTTACAAGAAGCCCAAAAGAGATTGAAGATCAAAAGGCCACCTCAGATCCTAGTCATCCATTTGAAGAGATTCAAGTACATCGAACAGCTGGGCCGATACAAGAAGCTTTCGTATCGTGTCGTGTTCCCACTCGAGCTAAAACTCAGCAACACAGTCGAAGACACAGAAGCAGAATATTCCCTCTTCGCCGTAGTTGTCCACGTAGGCAGTGGTCCCAATCACGGCCACTACATCAGCCTCGTGAAAAGCCACAACCATTGGTTGTTCTTCGACGATGAAAACGTTGAAATGATCGACGAATCCGCCGTGCAGACCTTCTTCGGATCAGCCCAAGAGTATTCCAGTAATACAGATCATGGGTACATTTTATTTTACGAACGACTAATTACTGGTAGCACGAGCTAAGAGACGAGGCATCGATTTCTTTTTTTTCTCGCAGAATCCAATTTATTTTACAATTTTGAGAATGTTTAATGAATTTTACCTACCTAATTTTTAATGTTCGTTCTTGATGAAATTTGATGTGGAAATCTTTTTGGTTCGTTTTTTTAGTATGATTGTCTTTTAGCAAGTTGAGATGAAAATGTGGAGAGAGTGTATACACTTAGGGTTGTTGTTTACCTTGTATAGTTTGATGGGGTTGTCTAGGGTCCGAGAGGAGTTGTACTTCTCGGACCTAAACGATTGAAGATCAACCAATAAAAATGTGACACGTATGATTAGTACGAACCCCATTAAAAAAGTACGAAACATGGATTACTAATGAAATTACATAAATACCCTTAAAACTAAAACTTAATTAAATATTAAATATTAATGACTTTTCAAAAAACAAAATATACAAAATTAATAAGTAAAATATGACAATTGCGTTTCATTATAAACGTTTTCTCTCCATCGTCTTCTTCGATTAAAAACTAAAAAAAAAAAATCCATCGTCTTCTCCTCATCAACATAATAATTTCTTCGGAGGAACCTCATCAACATAATAATTTGAAATAAAATGTTCAAAAGAGGTGGGAATCTTGAGAAACAATTCAAGTTAATACTAGAAGAACATAACTTCATAAGCATAAAATGTTCGGTGACTTGTGTTTTCAATTCAATTCAAGAAACTAAAAATACTCTAAAGATACCAATAGCTTCCGTATTCAATGTGAAGCATATGGAATTAAGATTGTTATAGTTTCACATTTAGTTTCTAATTACCTGCACGGAATCTGAAGATCTCATTCTTGCTAATAAATTGGGTCCTATTTTCGTGGATTATGTTATAATAATTATGATTGAACTGCAAGTTTGAATCGAACTGGGAAAAGAAAATAAAATTAAATAACCCAATAAAAATTGGGTCAGCCGCATGTTTTTCCATTTGGGTTCCTCGAATCGGCGACCCTCACCACTATTGTTGATTTTTCTTCCACCACCATAATTCTCAACAATAAAAACAATATGAGAAAAAGATGAAAAAGAGATTTTCAAATCTGGCTTTACAATCCCGATGGAGATTGAACCATGGCATACGCCATACAGTGTCTCCATGAATAGAGGAGATGAAAGGTTGTGTTCGACGAAAGAAAAGAGATTTCTTTGAAAATAATTGATGAATTTTGATTTTGTTTTACAATCATACTACGAAAAAAAGAAGAAGAATGGATTAATAAAAAATTGTGTGGAAATATTATTTTCTTATATTATTTATAAGGTTAAGATAGTAATTTACAAAGAGTACGATGAGTGTACGATGGTGTACGATGTATTTTTACTGAGTTCGTACAAAATTCTAATGTCGTACTGGATCGTACTAGGTCGTACCAAAAAATCAATGGATGAGATCAACATTTAAACATTTTGTACGTCCCAGATTCAATCGTTTAGGTCCGAGAAGTACAACCCCTCTCGGACCCTAGACAACCCCATGTCTGTTGACACATTGGTGGACTAAAAATTTATAAATGATTAAAATCAATGAAAAACATGAATATTTATTATTTAAAAACAATTTGATTTCGTTAAATTATTTTTTGATGTAAGTTTAATTTTTTTCTTTAAATGCTAAGAGCAACTCCAATGCTAAATACCAAAATCGAATTATCAAATATTTATTTGATATTTGAGATAATATTTTAATATTGATTAAACTTCATCTACTCCAACCAGGGTTATCAAATTAATTATCAATTGGAAGTTTATGAGTGATTTTATTTGTAATTGCCACATGTCCACTTTTGATTGGATGTTTAGATAGTTACACTTTTGATAACTCAATTTCCAGCAAGTATTTTTACATCCCAAAAGTTGAATTATCAAAATAGAACCCTAATTTGATAACTCCATTGGAGTTAAAAATTTCTATTTTTTGGTGTATAAATAGTGGTTAATGGTTTAAATACCATGTTTGATAACCCATTAGAATTGCTCCAATAAATACTTTTAAGGGCAAAATATTTAAAAAAAAAAAAAAACCCCAATATATGTTTAAATTACAAAAAAGAAATCCTTTTATTTGCAGTTTACTCCATTTTTAAAAGAAAACCGGACCAACCTACTAGCGCGAGGTTTAGTAACCAATGAAGCTGCATGCCTCTGAATAAAAATTTGTACAAACTTTTTCTTTTTTC